GTCCTCCAAGGCCTAGGGGAGGGCAATGGGGGGGTCCCCGTCCCCCCCTCCTCAGAGCTCCTGCCGGCCACGCCGCTGGGAAGGAGGCGGCAGGAAGGGAAGGAGGAGCTTCCGATAAAGCATGTTATTTCCCTGCAGAAAACAGAGACACCTGTTCTGTCCGTGTGCGCGATGGTGGGCAGAGCTCCGTCGGCTGGAGTCCAGCGCGGCAGGGGCAGGGCTGCCCGGCTCAGGCACCCTCGGCCGCTCCCGGTCCCGCAAGGTGCCCGGAATGGCTACTGTGCGTCCCTAGACAGGACTATGCAGAGGCCAGCTCGGCGAGGCCAGACACCGTACTGCCATCGGGCAAGAGACCACTGAGTGCTGCGTAAGGATGCAACATGGCCCAGTGAGAAAAATATTGGATTTGCTCTCTCAAATCTTGGGTTCAAAATCAGATTCCATCAATTACTGGCTTTCTAACCGTGCATAAATCACCCAACATCTGAGTTTTAGTCAACCTACTGGAGAATAAGGATGATAATACCTATATCAGATAATTATTTCTGAGGCTTTAATTATAGAGCAAATGAAAGTGTGTTAATTTAATAAGTTTTAACTTACATTTTATTCTCCTTTTAGGGTCTTGATGTGAAGAGCACATACATTTCAAATGAATTTGGGTGTTTAAAATACAAACTATATAGCTCATGATTTTTCTTGCATTAATTAACTTCAATATATATTCTTTTTTAAAAAATGTATATTTTATTGATTTTTCACCGAGAGGAAGGGAGAGAGACAGAGAGCTAGAAACATCAATGAGAGAAAAACATCATCGAATGACAGAGCTGGCAACAGCAAGTCCGCCTCGGACACGGACGCCCCAGCGCTTCCGGGCCCAGTGCCACGCAGAAGGACGCTGCCCCCCCCCCTCGGAGCCCCTGCCGGCCACGCCGCTGGGAAGGAGGCGGCAGGAAGGGAAGGAGAAGCTTCCGATAAAGCATGTTATTTCCCTGCAGAAAACAGAGACACCCGTTCTGTGCATGTGCGCGATGGTGGGCAGAGCTCCGTCGGCTGGAGTCCAGCGCGGCAGGGGCAGGGCTGCCTGGCTCAGGCACCCTCGGCCGCTCCCGGTCCCACAAGGTGCCCGGAATGGCTACTGTGCATCCATAGACAGGACTACGCAGGGGCCGGTTCAGCGAGGCCAGATGCCATACTGCCATCGGGCAAGAGACTGCAGGGACCCCAGAGTAGGCCAGGACCTCAGGGACAGCCCACACCTCCCCATCACCCTTGCCAGAGCAAGCAGCCCACCCCTTCCCCACCCCCAGCAGGGTGGGCTCCGGCACCAGCCGTGCCCCTGGCATGTGCCCGTGGCATGCTGCACATGCCCAGGAGAACAGTCAGTGCTTCCTGAAGGTTGTGAATCAAATGGTGAAAATAAGCAGAAGGGGCACACCCCGTGCTGAGGGACAATAACCGTCTCCCCATCAGAACAACGGCTGACACAGGGGAGCCCGGGCGAGCCCCAGGCCTCCCTGGGCGCGTTAGGTACGTGCTGTCCTCCGGGCACAGCGGGCTCTGGGCTGTGCAGACGCAGAGCCTCGGAGAAGCGGGTGAAGTGTCGGATAAAGACAAGTCTGCTGATTTCAACCCAATTCTTTTGGACGCAGAGGAGGCAGAGGGATACCCGGTGATGAGTGACGCTCAGGTCTGACCCCAGACGCTGGTGAGGAAGGAGCAGAGGGGCCCTAATTCTCGGGACCACAGAAGCTGCGGGCGCTGAATCCATTAGGCCAGGCGAGTTTTGATCCGAGCCTGAACACCCACCACCTCACCACTCCAACCCGTCGCTCACTGATACCTAGTAAAGTCTGCGCACGTGCCACCACATGCATACAGCATCCCGGGCCTGGGAGGGGGAACACATGGACGGTAACTGTCTTCTAAAGCTGTTCCCTTCACATGTTCCCTTCCCGGCCACGGTGTGGCTGACTGTCCCGTCAGGGATGGACGACTGCCGCTTCTAGCATAGCCATCTGCCCAGGGCAGCTCAGGGCCAGTCAGTCCATACAAGTCCTTCACTCTCGGCCCTGCAACACCATGAGGCGCTGCCGTCCCCAGTTAAACTTGATCGACAAAGGGCAAATGTGCGACAACCCTACTGAGAAAGCCCTGGCTGGTTTGGCTCAGTGGACCGAGCATCGGCCTGCAGACTGAAGGGTCCTGGGTTTGATTCCGGTCAAGGGCACATGCCCGGGTTGCAGGCTCGATCCCCAGTGTTAAGGAATGAAGATACTTTAATAGATGATAGATGACTTCCCAAGGGAGGTGGATTCTTCATATTATTTAATAAATTGTTATAGGCATGCAGGAGGCAGCCGATCAATGATTCTCTCGTATCATTGATGTTTCTATCTCTCTATCTCTCTCCCTTCCTCTCTGAAATCAATAAAAATAAATATTTTTTTTTAAAAAGCATGGAGAAAAAAATGTGCTAGTGAAGAACTGGTACAGGGAGAGGCGATGTTACTATGAGAAAAGCGTCAGACCCCCTGTGACACCACAGCCTGGCAGACGTTCGAGAGGAAGGAGTGTGAGAAAAGAACCGCGAGGACACTTACTTTCTTGATGTACGGCAGGTAGGCGGGGTCTTTGTTGTAGGAGCCATACTCATTCTCCACCTGCACAGCGATGATGGGTCCCCCGTGCTTGTACTGGGGAGAGAGAAACAGTCCGGCGCCCAGCGTGTAGCGGGAACCGGATGGTCTCATTTCACTCCACGTCTCACCAGGTACTGGCGTGACGTCCCATTGGGAAGCCAAAGTCTCAAAGGTCTGGCGTGTGATTGAGGGGCGGCAGCCAGACAGAGTGGAGAGCCCCAGGCCTGTGATCCCCCACGGGAACGTCCCATAAACCACCGCATACTGGCCAAAGCAACTGTAACAGATAGCGGTTCTCAACCTGCGGGTCGCGACCCCTTTGGGGGTCGAACGACCCTTTCACAGGGGTCGCCTAAGACCATTGGAAAACACATATATAATGACATATTGTTTTTGTGATTAATCACTATGCTTTAATGTTCAATTTGTAACAATGAAAATACATCCTGCATATCAGATATTTACATGACGATTCATACGAGTAGCAACATTACAGTGATGAAGTAGCAACGAAAATAATTTTATGGTTGGGGGTCACCACAACACAAGGAACTGTATTAAAGGGTCGCGGCATTAGGAAGGTTGAGAACCACTGGTATAGGAAGGAGCTCTGGCAGCCAATCCAATGTTTAGACAGATACATCAACGCCCAATCAAGAAAAAGACATTCTGCCCTAGCCGGTGTGGCTCAGTGGACAGAGCATCAGCCTGCGGACTGAAGGGTTGTCCCAGGTTCCATTCCGGTCAAGGGCACATGACCGGGTTTCAGGCTCGATCCCAGTAGGGGGCGTGCAGGAGGCAGCCGATCCATGATTCTCTCATCGTTGATGTTTCCATCTCTCTCACCCTCTCCCTTCCTCTCTGAAATCAATAAAAAATACTTAAGCAAAAGCCATTCAAAAGGGTATGAAACTGCATGTTTTGCTTGCCCTTGCCCCACCCTTCTGTGGTGCAGCATGGCAGTCAGTGCTCTGGGCTGTCCGTGGTCTGTCCAGCGGACTAGTGCCTGTCTCCTCTGACTCGGAGCTGAAACAGGGTGGTATGTTGGCAACATCTGGACCTCAGGTGTGTGTGTCTTTCTTTACAAACTATTTCTCGAGATTTCTGCTCCTTTGAGTGAGACGTGTCTCCATGTTTCTTGTTCGTCTTGTGTGGGTTTTTTTCTGAAAATTGGGTTTTTAAAAAGCCGTCATGTCTCTGTCTTTGCATATTTGGAGGGAACGTCTTCACTATTTAATGGGCTCCTAAGCCTTGAGATCAGCCAGGATGAAGGCTTAAGACCTTCTCAGATATTTCCGGGGCATCTGTCCTGTCTAAACTGTGTGTGTGCATGTGTCTCCCGCTGCTTTTACATGTCTTACTTCCCCAGGGTCTCACCTAGCTGCCTCTTGTGGCCTTAAGGGTTCTGTCGTACCCCTCTGCCTCCACACTCTTGCCCCAAGGCTTCCAGGAGTCTGTAGTCCCCCTGACGTTTTCACATGCTTTACCTACTAGTCTTTAAAGAAACACACACACACACACTGGACTTACTAGACAAAAATGTTTAAGCTGTGATAAATACGAACTGCTGATGGGAATGCAGATTGGTGTGGAAAGCTGTATGGAGTTACCGCAAAAAATTAATTAATGGAACTGCCTTAGGATCTAGCGATTCCACTTCAGGGAATTTATCCCAAGAAACCCGAAGCACTAACTCAAAAGAATAGATGCAGCCCCTATATTCACTGCGGGCGTCAGTCACCATAGCCAAGAGGTGGAAGCTGCCCCAGTGTCCATCAGTAAGTGAGTGGATGAAACAGCTACAGTACGTTCACACAACGGAGTATTACTCGGCCGGAAAAAAAGCAAGAACATTTTACCCTTTTCAACACTGTGGACGGACTTGGAGAGCATTGTGCTAAATGAGAAATTTCTCTTAGAAATAAGCCCATAAGAGAAAGACAAGTATCCTATGATTTCACTGATATCTAAGGATCTAAATCAGTGATGGCGAACATATGACATGTGTGTCAGAGGTGACATGCGAACTCATTTTTTTGGTTGATTTTTGTTAAATGGCATTTAAATATATAAAATAAATATCAAAAATATAAGTCTTTGTTTTACTATGGTTGCAAATATCAAAAAATTTCTATATGTGACACGGCACCAGAGTTAAGTTAGGGTTTTTCAAAATGCTGACACGCCGAGCTCAAAAGGTTTGCCATCACTGATCTAAATTAACAAACTAAACTGCCAAGCAAAATGGAGACAGACTCATAGACAGAGAGCAGCTGACTATGAGCTCTGGTGGGAGGGCGGGGAGTTGTGGGGGTGGAGGGACTGAGCAAAAAAGATTTTAAAAAAAGAAAGACCTCCTGAACCAGGACATGTGGTGATTGTAGGGGGGAGGGGATGGGGAGAGGTGGAGGAGGGTAGAGGCTGATGGAATAAAATAATAAGATAAAATAAAATATTAAATAAATAAATAAATAAAATAATAAAATAAAATAAATAAATAAACAAAATAATCAAGCAATGAGTACATCGATGACAGGTCTCAGGCAGCAGGAAGGCATGAGCTCCTGTGTTGGAAGGAACTGGGAGCCCCTGGTCTGAGAGCTGCCCGAGGGCTGTTTACTCCCGTAGGAAGGCAGGTGCTTTTACCTGGAGCGGCACCACCCTGGACATCAGGTGGTCGAAATAAAGGTCCACTGCTTCGGTGAAGCCCTTGTATGTCGTTCTCAGCCTCATGCCAGAGTCTCGGAGCAGCCAGCTTGAATAGAAAAGGAGGGGGAGGGAGGTGGGCATTAGCTCCACTGTTTGTGGGCCACCCTGGGCAGGGCGATGGTGGCATGAAAGGAAAGCCGTGACCGAGTGCTCAGGAATGAGACCCGAGATGCCCTCACCCCACACCCTCCACCCGTCGGAGAGGAGCACGTGCGGCCCGGCCCAGCCCCGAACTCAGCCCTGCTCCCCGATAGGGGACACCAGCCTGGTGGCAACAGGTCTGGCTGCCAGTCAGAGTGAGAAAAGCTTTTCATTGGCTGCAAGGCCCGCTCTTCAAGCATTTACTCTGCAATCTCTGTATCGGGGGTGAAGCCAAAGGCGTTAGGCTGGGACTGCAGAACAGAGGCAGCCTCCAGCGTCACCCAGAAAAGCAGCGGGAGGCAGGCTGTGCTGTGCGAGGCTAAGCTGCCTCCCGGCTGCTCGGCCCTGCTCTGGCCTGGCTGCGGTTCCCGGCCCTGCTCTGGCCTGGCTGCGGTTCCCGTTGACCCGGCTCATCTGCATCATCAGATCAGCTATTCAGAGCTCGGCTTGGGGGAGAAGCAGGGAAGCAAGAAGATTCATTCTTCCTACAACCTGTCTGGGGGGGTCCCCATTCCCCAAGGAACACAGGACGTTGTTCCAGAGCTGCAGTCAAAGTACTTTCCATCTCATCTGAAATTCGGAGAAAACTCTTCTATTTTCTTACGAAAGGCCCTGATTCAGAAGTCCTGAAGAGGGTCAGAAAGTATCCCTTTAATGTGAGGTCACGGTGGATGAGGGAGAGCGGTCTCCATGGGACTGACGGCTCCCCGCCATCTCCAGGAGACAGGTCTGGCTGGGCATCCCCACGGGCACTCGTCCGTTTCCCAGAGGAGCGCGCCGCCTGCCAGGGTTGTCCGTGGGCCCACCGCCTCTGCCACCCGGGCCTGGACGGCCAGGCGCTGCACAGGAGGGCCGAGTGCTGGAGTCCTCGCTGCTTCTGAGCGGAGACTTAACCCCTGTCCTCCTGTGCCCGCTCCGGCTCAGCCAGAGGCTTCTCGCTGACAGGTTTCTAATCCCCAGGGGTGGGGGAGGCCACTCTGGCTGGGGTCACAGCCTGGCTGAGGGCGCTCTGGCCGAGATGAATGGCACAGGGACACAGAGGTGGTCCTGGGTAGTGAAGGAGATGGAGACAGAGGCTGCCTGTGCCCCTGGGGCCGGGCTGGGTAGCAAATGAAACCAGAGGAAAAACAAAACAAAACAAAACAAGACGGAGACGGGTGGCTGCGGTCTGGGGAGAAGCCAGTCCCGCAGGAGACAGCCTGGCAAACAGGCTCGGCCTCCCGCCCCAGGGGCAGCGCGGGGTGGGGGGGGAGCAGACCTGACCATCCGGAGCACAGTGAGGAGGGGAACGATGACCCCTCTTAAAAAATGTATCTTTTTTTTGAAAATTAAAAGCAATAATGAGGGGGAGGAGGCATGCACGTGGTGGCAGGTGGTCCAGTTGTAGAAACTGGATCACACAGCCCCCCACTGGCCCCGGTGGGGACTGCACATCCTCAGATAACTCCTGAGGGCTGAAATGCAAAGATGAGAGAGCACACGAAAGCCATCATGTGTTTCTCTGACACTTGAACAAACAAACGCTGGTCACATCCCCTAGACACAGGCGGGCGGGTTTGATTCCCCCTGTTTTGCAGACAGGAAGGTGAGGTCCAGGGCAGACAAACGGCCCAACTGAGGCCGAGTCACAGCAGAGCCCTGGTGGAGCGCACGCCTCGGGGAGCGCACCCCTGGGGGTGGCCGGCCCTGGGCCGTGCTCGCCACGTGGAAACCACATCGGATTAGACACGGACGGTGGGGGTGACATCGTTTACTAGTGAAATGACCCCCTTTGGGGGCTACTTATTCTAAAAAGGAACTTCAGTACAAAACAGAAAAATATACATTCTTTAAACGCAAAATTAAACCTATATTTGTGATCACATTTTACATGAGCACACAGACAACTCGGGCTGTGGCCAGAGGCCTCACAGCCTGCTCACCTGGGCAGGCCGCCGAGGTCGATCTCGCTGCAGATGTAGGGGCCCGGACGCAGGATCACCCACAGCCCGACCTCCGCGGCCATCCGGACAAAGGCCCTAGGAAGGTCAAAGGCGGCCACTCTGAGGGCATTCGAGCCGGGGGGTTGGGGACGAGCTGCCCAGAACCTCTGCTGGCCCGCCCTCCTCTCAACCAGAGACAGGCAGAGTGAAGAGAAGGCCGAGCCCCCACCCCTGCAGCTGGCTTCTCACCAGCTCCCAGCCCAGGACCATCTGCACAGCCCACCGGGTCATGGGGGTGGGGGCGGGTGTCAGACAGGGGATGGGGTCCTCACATGAACCTGACCCCAACCATCTTGCTGCCTCCAGGGGCAGCCCCCTTCCAGCAGGGGGGAGGGACCCCACTGCAGAGCAGGGCTGACAGGGGACCAGGCTCCTCTGGGCTGCAGTGAGGAGGGTGGGCTCAGGGGAGGCCTGGGCACCTGGGAGCAGCAGGTCCCAGCTGGAGAGCACCTGGCCCCAGTGCAGAGCTGGCACAGGGCCCTGAGAAGAGCTTCCAAGCAGAGCTGAGAGGCCGCGATGGTCCCTCATCAACCCCCGCCAGCCCCTCCCTGCCCCCAGGCCCAGGCCCAGGCCAGGTCACAGGAGCAGCAACAGCACGTACTCCAGATCCAGGTTCCCAGAGAAGTCAAATGTGCCTCTCTGTGGCTCGTGGAGGTTCCAGGGGACGTAGCTGTAACAGGAAAGAGTACAGGCATGGATGGGCTCTTCATTTATTCCACCTCATCCCCCGGGTTCCCTCTTGATCCCTAAAACCCCTGTGTTGCCCTAGCTCAGAGGTCAGCAAACCGCGGCTCGCGAGCCCCACGCGGCTCTTTGGCCCCTTGAGTGTGTCTCTTCCACAAAATACCACGTGCGGGTGCGCGCGTACAGTGTGACTGAAACTGCGTGGCCCATGCGCAGAAGTCGGTATTTTGTGGAAGAGCCACACCCAAGGGGCCAAAGAGCCACATGTGGCTTGCGAGCCGCAGTTTGCCGACCACTGCCCTAGCTGGTTAGGCTCAGTGTACAGAGCATCGACCTGCGGACTGAAGGGTCCAGGGTTCGATTCGGGTCAAGGGCACATGCCCAGGCTGCAGGCTCAACCCCCAGTAGGGGGCATGCAGGAGGCAGCCAATCGATGATTCTCATCATTGATGTTTTTCTCTCTCTCCTTTCCTCTCTGAAATCAATAAAAATATACTTTTTAAAAAAAACTCTCTGATGGTGCACTCTCTCCGTGGTGCACTGTCTCAGTGACGTCAGGGCTGGACCAAGAACTAAGTGAAGAGACGGAAGGCCTTAGAGAACCCAGGGCCAGTCCAGGGGGACAGAGAGCTCACCTACCTCTTGGGGGTGGGGTGGGGGGGAGAAGGCCAATAAGACATGAAGATGTGGGGGAAGCATAAGACAGGACCACAGGGCAATGTGGGCTGCTCAGAGTAGGATCTGCCCGGGCTCACCCATCCTGGCACCCTG